TAGGAGATTGCCTCGGAAACAGCGTCAGCATGAATGTTCCGGTAAAGCCAATCGACAGCTGGTCAAGAGTAATCCGCGTATTCTTCTGGTGGAACCGACCTTCGAATCTATTCACACAAAACTTTCACTCGAAATGGAAGTAAGCTCAACAATTATGCAACCAGAGATTCCTCGAAACCCAACTTTTCTTCGAGATGAATGAGCCAAAACTCTGATGCAGAAGATGTGCAAGCCCCAGTCCTAGCTGCAGGCATGCCGTAGGACAAATAAAATGCATAAACCTTGAGAAGAGCTCCCAAAGCCTTAGGGATTCCAAAGTGCTGAGCCCCACCTCGGCAAAATATGACTACTTGTGCAATTAAGGGGCCTACGGTAGGTGCAACTGCCCGATTAAGATCAAGTAAAACTCCATGCACTACATTTTTCGAGTCGATCCTCACCTCCAAAGAAGATAAAATCAAGAACTGGCTAGTCGCCAACTCCTGGAGATCTAGAAATGGCGAGTGTGTCTATTGCTTAAATGTAATTCCGGCATCAGGCAAATGCAGACCCTTACGACATGAGGATCAACAGTACATGGATGGCTTTGGCGTTTGATAGACGGAAATAGCGGTGAAGCTTGAAGGTATAAACAAGTAATAGTCCACATCTCTTATGAAAATACAAACTACCAAGACATTAAATGACAAAAATATCAATGACGATGCTACATCCTTGAACGAGATGCAATGGCACTGACTACTTCTGCAAAAGTCAGCAGGTTTCCATATCAACTAAAGCAAGATATAAAGGCCAAGCTGACGTGGTTTCCTTAATTGTTTAGACTTGAGTTGGCCTCGTGTTTGGCACATTAATCGTGGCTTCAAGGAGACTCTGAAGACAACCATGAAACCACGAGGTCAAACAAAGTGACGTAAATCAAGAAAAAGGCAACGCGCACAGATGTGCTGTTCTCGTTTTATTTACCAAGTGGTGAAAAAGAAAGAGAACAATGGCAAGTGACCGTAATTACTAGGACTAAGACTTTTTCGACTTTTGCTTTTTGCCAAACGACTTGGTAAAGTGTCGCTTTCCTGA